AAAACTAGTATTTAAACATAGTCAGATCACTGTTTGGTGTTGTGTAAAAAGTTAAGATAAAAAGATAAACAAGTTCCAAAATAACAGATCAAACTGTAAAAATGTGAAAACAAAAACACAAGGATTGCTTTGGGAGAATATTGCTAGAGCTCCAATATTTGAATGATATAAATCCCAACTGAATAGTACAAAAAAAGAAAACAACAACAAAGATGCTGTGGCTGAAACATGATGACAGAAAAAGACACAAAATACTGGAGGATGCATCATTTATCTCCCAACTGCGCTCAACGTTCTTCACTCATTTAAAGTCAGAAAACATTCCCATTATTTAAGACATTTTAACATTATTCATCCTGATCAAATATGTCAGGATGTTTTTGCACCTGCAGTCACCTGCCACTTGGTGGTAATAGAAAAAAAATTCTACTTTTTGTTTTTTACAGAAAAACACACAAAATGCAGACAAATCGAACACAGATTTTGTTACAAAAATGTAAATGTACCTGCTGGTGACTGCAAACGTTTGGAACGTGTTTGAAATTCCTAATTGGAATTCTGGAAATCTTGGATTCATAGGATGGTAACACGTATGAAGCCTTTGCTGTAATATAATCCTAATCCTGTTTAATCCAGGTCTTTATGGTGACACAGAAGCACTAATCAAGCCCTCATTTTGCCCGTCTTTATTGCCTTTATGGGAATTTTTAGACACAAATGCATCAATTAAATATTTAAATCTATGGTGAGAGCGTGATTTTCTTTCTCAGTTATTGGGTGTAGATTAACGTCTGCTTCATTACGATAATCTGTGTTTCTTGTTTGTTAGATTGGCGCTGGGACCTGCTGCCTTCCAGGTCCGGGTTGAGAGGATAACTTCTGCGAGTGCCAACGAGTCTCCTTGTACACAAACCAGGCGTTTCCCGCCCACACTAACATGTTGAGGTAGCCAAACACCTGGAAAACACACAAATGGATATAAATATAAAAATTAAAGGGGAACTAGGCAGTTTTGGTTTGCTTTTAGCACCCCCTAGTGTCCGTTTGTAGAACCAAAAGCAAAGCCCATCTCCTTGCTGTGCCTTTGTCTTTTTAAAACCTTAATCTAACAGCTGAAATGTCTCCCAGCCTTCATTTGTGTCTACAGGAGTGATTCGTCACTAAATTAAACAAATCCGCTGTGTTCATGATCTAAAACATGCAGGAGATGTGCTGGAACCAGACTGCAGCACCAGGTATGTCAGCTCCATTTTTACAAGATGGAAGTGAGATATTCTAGCCACAGGGGGCGATAGGAATGTAAAGGCTCGTTTTAGCTCATGCTGGCTCAAGAAAATGATTTTAAAAAATGAAATAAATGCAAAGTATCCCTTTAATGAAACTAATAAATATTGGACACATTTGGTCAGAGAACCTGTGAAATAATGTTACTCTGCAGCTCCAGAAGCGTATAAATATTTGATTTAGAGCAGAGGTTTGGTGATAAAGGCTAAATGTGAAGGAATCTGCGCACAAGTAAAAAGAGCAAATAAAATATTTCTCCCTGGCTGCATCCTGCAGGCAATGAACCAAGGCTGAGCTATTTCCTTTTAAACTCAGTGTTTTGAGTTTGGCTAACATCATAAATAAATGGAGTTTAATCCCTGGAAGACGTCGGTCTCACCACAGAGATGTTGAGGGTGCGCATGTTGGCAAACTCGGTGACCTCACAGGTCACGTTTCTACCCTCGCATATCTCCAACGTGGCTCTGATTCCGCTGGTATCCGTGGCGTCCTTCACATGCTGCAGGCCTTTTGCCCACGCAGACGAGCACACCAGCCACAGGAAGACCAGCACCGCTGTGATCACAAAGTCCTGGCAGAAAAACAAATTTGGTGCACGTTGAGAGCTGACTTCCATCAGCTGGTCCTGGTTTTGCATCCCAAAAGCACAGAGTGCATTCTGGGATGTGTAGTTTTAATGGTTTCATGTACTGCACATCCACTGGCCAGTTATAACATGAGCCAGAATCACATAAATCATCATTAAATTGTAAATATTTTTATAATTGTGCGTTCACGTACAAAAATGGGTCCAAAGTCAGAGTCCTTGTAGACGTGCATGTAGCCTAAGTAAACCAACAGCGCAACCATGCAGTACAGGAAGCAGACCACTCCAATCCCTACAAAGAACTCAGCCGAGGATGCCGAGTCTCCCACCAGGTAGGTCGTAGTGATGGAGCGATTGCAGATGCTGGTGTTTCCCTCCACCAGGGGGACTTGGCTCAACCTGGCAGAGACACGAGAAATAACAAGCAAAGGGGAAAAAAGGGGGATTTAATTTAAATTGGATTATATGAAAGAATTCTCAGAAAGAAGCCTGAATGCGTTCATAGTCTCACCTAAATGGGTAGTGGAAGTTAGCGTTGAGTGTTTCATTTGCGCCGTCGCCGCAGAAGAGAGATATGATGTTGGTCCCTGAGAATCCGCCGCAGCTCCCAAAAGCAAATATGGCCGTCAGCTGTTTGGACAAACACCACAGAGGAACATGGTTTCAGCACACATGGGAAAGTATTAAGGAATAAAAAAAATGGACAAAGAAAAAATATGTATGTAGATATAGAGTACGGGCCAAAAGTTTGGACACATCTTCTCATTCAATGTGTTGTCTTTCATGACCATTTACATTGGGAGATTCTCACTGAAGGCATCAAAACCATGAATGAACACATGTGGAGTTATGCACTTAACCAAAACAGGTGAAATAACTGAAAACATGTTTTATATTCTATTTTCTCTAAAATAGCCACCCTTTGCTGTGATTACTGCTTTACACACTCTTGGCATTATCTTGATGAGCTTCAAGAGGAAGTCACCTGAAATGGTTTTCCAACAGGCTTGAAGGAGTTCCTAGAGGTGTTTAGCACTTGTTGGCCCCTTTGTAAATGGTCATGGTCATGAAAATAAAGAAAACAAACTGAACGACAAGATGTGTCCAAACTTTTGGCCTGTACTGTATATGGAGTGATATTTTAGCATAATTAAGTATTATTTCACTATTAATCCTCAGAAATACAACCAGAACCAATAAAAGCACAGTGACTCATGCAACTAGCTCCAGTGTTTCTGTCTGCCATCTTAAAAATGTGGTCTTATTAATGCTGCTGTTCAGCTTTTGGATTCCTTTCTGCAGAAAAAGCATCTGATTCAGTTTTCCGACCATGTGACACTAATTCCCTTCTCTTAACCCCAACAACTAAATTCTTGTAGCGACTGCAGCTAAACCTGCAGGCCTCCGACGGCAGCAACAATCCCAGTAACAAGAATCTCCTTTATCCAGATTCTCCCTGATACAACTTCATAAAAGCACCGCGGGCAATAATATAACATGATGATCTTCAAATTTGTGCAAGTTACTGGAATGATCTCACATTTATTTTGGCCACAGTTCAACTCATTGTTCTGTTTTTATTACCACGAGGCTTTCTAGGCTCTTATTTAGATAAACAAGCCCAAACCATGATGCTACCACCGCAAACCTTTAAAACCAAAACCCCACATTTCCTTTTTTTCCTAAAAATTAAAAAGATGAAGTTTAGTGTGTTCATACAATCTTCAGTCAACCGCAGCAGCTATCTACTTCCTGCCTTTGCTCCTCGTATAGTTCCTCTGTGAATATTAACAACACACAAAGCCAAAGTTACTCTGAGCCGCAGTTCTGTTGATGAAGAACTTGTCGATGCTTTTTGTCTGTATGGACCGGTGGACTTTAGATTGTTTAGAGAGGATTCTGAAGGATTTTCCTGCCAATGACTGATTTAAAACATCTGACCCCATTTATGTCTCAAAGCTACGTGATGCTGAAAAACCAAATTGAATTAATTCATTTAGTTGGTTTAATTGACTTTGGCTATTTATAAGACTTCTTTTATAACTTGTCTTAACCCTTTAAAGACTGATAGTTGAAATAATTATCAAACATCAGATTTAAAAATGAACTAATGTTAATAAAACAAAATCATCTATTATATTTTTAAAATTTTTAATTAAAGAGCAAGTAACGCCCTACAAGAAACTTACTTCACTCCCTCTTCATGTTTGAAAAACGCAACAAATGCTGTTGCCTAGCAGACCGAGAGGGCGGAGCCGCTAACAAATACACACACACACACACAGGCTCACAACGGCATTGTGACATTATAAGGATCAGTTTACATCATAGCATACCTCTTAGCCAAAAGCAGTGGCAGATTTAAATTCTAATGCGGTGCAGAGTTTTTACCTGACAACGGCACAACACTGACAGTTTTAGGCAGAAATTTACAATTTTAACTAAAATGCGCTAAAGTACAAAACTATTAACTACATGTGTCTGCAGCATGATTAGACACACATTTATATAGTTTATCAGAAAAAAAGTTGATTTGGGGGTGACTTGCTCTTTAAATAAAATTGCATTTAAAACTTCCAGAACTTGGATTCTTCACCAGGGGCAGAAGACACATTTAGAATTTGACACCAAGGCTGGCCTCAGCCTTAATGGGGCCCTGAGCAGTTTTCCCTTTAGGGGCCCCCACATAAACAAGTCAACACCAGATGAGTCATCCCTATGTGCGTAACATACCCCATAATATTAATGTCTTTTGTAATTAGCTTACATATCAGTGTTTTTATGGCTGTTGATTCTAACTTTACAGGAGTAGCAAACCAACAAAATTGCTCTGATTAATTTGCATTTTGAAATGCAGAGTGGTGTTCAAGTGTGGTTTATTAATTCAACTATGTGAAAGCAACAGCTACTGGGCAGCAGTAGCAGTAGCTCAACAGGTTGAGCCGGTTGTCCAGTAATCGGAAGGTTGCAGGTTCGATCCCGGCTCCCCTTGGGCAAGACCCCCTTGTGGCGCCTGTGCTCGGCAGCCTAGCCTCTGTCCGTGCGCCCCAGGGCAGCTGTAGCTACATCATAGCTCATCATCATCAGTGTGTGAATGGATGAATGATACACTGTAGTGTAAAGCGCTTTGGAGTCCTTACTCTGAGAGGCGCTGTACAAGTGCGGGTCATTTATCATTTATCAGCAGACAAACACTGAATTTACAGTAAACAAGTTATGTTTTCTTATGTTTTATCTTTTATTCTTAAAGTGGGAGTCAAGGCATGGGTGGTGACCTATTTCAACCAGACTTCCTGTTAGATAAATACCTGGGAAAAGGTGTTGCCTGGAGGACTGAGAGAGCAGCACTGAGGCAATGATTGGCATTACCCCCTCAACCCCCCCGCATGCGCGCTCAGAGTTTCTCAGTCGGAAAAAAGAGTCGTTAACAAGCGCGTGCACATGAGCACACACGAACAGCAGACTCACCACTCAGGAGAAGAGCAGACACAGAAACTGACTGCAGGAAGGAGGATTTCCTGTTCACGTTTTTCTTAAGGAGGCGAGCGGCTCCGAGTGCCAACATGTCATAGGGAGGCTAAGTCTCCTCGCTTTCCGGTCGGCTCATGGGTTTACAGAAGAACAAAAAAATGCAAGTCAACGGGGCTAAAAGAGCTATTTTCTAATACCTTTGCCATATGCCCTGGATCACACACACGTTGTACTTCAATTTAAATGAAAAGTAATGATGTGTGTTTCGACTACGCCAGTCACGTACTTTGAGATTTATCAGCTTGTAAAAGTTTGTAATTCGCATGACTACAAATCGGACGTCGGTACGTTGCATAAATGATGTCTCCAAATAATCTCCTCTCCTCTAGCGTAGCTGCTACTTACCACATTATTTCTGGTGGTTCTTTCCTTCTAAAGGAAGGATTTTAAGTTTGCTGAACTTGCAGCCATTTTCCCTCTGTTTTTCTCCGTGTCTGGTTCGATGACATCACTGTGACGTGCATTTGTAGTCCTGGACTTATTTTCACACAAAACCTAAAATAACGTTTCCCCTCGTTGAAAAATAAGCACTTTCTTGGTATCAAAATGTAACTTTAAAATTCACGAACATCATTTGTGAAATCCATGGCACACAACAAGCAAAATTCTGATTTGCCAAACTTGGCCAAAACTCATAACATTGTGGTTTATTAAAACAAGAATTACTTCCCGATTAATTCAGTTTCTAGCGGATTCTTGAACTGGCCAATTCGGGAACAAGCATCTTTTGAAACAATCTCTCTTGACCTCCAGTCAAAAGCCTCTTTGCACGCTGATACAGCCAGACAGCTCTTTTCAGAGCTACTTCACACCTCAGACATCTAACCTGCAGACCCAGGGTTGCATCTTTTGGCCGGGGAAGCTGGACTCAGAGGAAGCTACTAATCTCTGAGTATTGTGGTTTTGACGTCCGGTGACCTCACCACTCGGAACGCGGCCCTCCGGACCACTGAGAGCAACTGATCCCAAGGGTATCGTACGCCTGCACACTGGAGTCTGATGAGGTTTTTAAATAAACATCTCTTTAGTTATTAAAAACAACAAATTCTTTTACAACCCAGACGTCACAATTTCTCTCAGATACAAAGAATGGTAGCTAAACTACTAGCTTCCATCACAACACCTCACATCCATCACATCACATCTCATTATTCATACCTCGTCATGTATAACCATAGGCGTCATTTTAACCGGGGACGCCGGGGTATGGCAAGCCAAATGAGCATTTATTCTGATATCAGGATATCAGCCAGAATTGTCATGAACATGTAAGCCATTTCTGTCCACTAGTTAACTAGTTAGCCATGTTTGTGTCAACTAGTTAAATAGTGACAGCCTAAATGTCAACTAGTTAACTAGTAAGGCCTAAATTCTCTCTAGTTTACTAGTTAAAATGTTTCATATCTTACTAGTTAACTAGTATTGCTCAGTGTGTTCACTAGTTAACTAGTGGACAGATCAATGTCCACTAGTTAACTAGTTAAAACACATTTAGTTTTTACTAGTCAACTAGTAAGGTACAAAAACTCGTACTAGCTGACTACTGAATGTAAAAATCCCACTTGTTAACTTTGCCCAATTTGGCCAGCCGCTTGAGCATTAATTCTGATATCTTGTCAACAGGTCAACTAGTTAACTAGTGAGGGTCAAACTGTACACGCTAGTTAACTAGTGAACACATTTTGACCTTCACTAGTTAACTAGTTGACACAAAAATGGCTCATTAGTTAACTAGTAAAGGCCAAAATGCATACCAGTCAGCTAGTTGAAGGTATTTGTGTCTCACTAGTTAACTAGTAAGGGTCAAAATGAGCCCACCAGTTAACTAGTGGGAGACGGAAATGTTCACTAGTTAACTAGTGAACACATTTTGGCTTCACTAGTTAACTAGGTGACACAAAATGGCTCACTAGTTAACTAGTAAAGGCCAAAATGCATACCAGTCAGCTAGTTGAAGGTTTTTGTGTCTCACTAGTTAACTAGTGATGGCCAAAATGTGCACACCAGTTAACTAGTGACAGAAGAAATGCCCACTAGTTGACAAGTGAACACATTTTGGCTTCCTAGTTAACTAGGTGACACAAAAATGGCTCACTAGT